GTCCTGACCCATTGCTGTGGTTACATTTTGGATAACATCCAGCGTGAGACATTTCACCATCTTTAGTGGAGAAGGAACTAACATCATTCAGAAAACAGTCATCTTCTACAACTGCCAAGCACACTTAGACATGTGGAGTGATTTTTTTTAAAAAAAAATTCCACCGCTTTATAAACATGCTTTAATCTTAGTACATTAAAGATCACTGATGTACAAAGGATTACTTACAGACTTAAAATGGTGTCTTTTGAAAGACAAGGAATATCCTCCAGATTATATGTTCTGTTGTGATCCCTTCTACACTAATTATTTCCATCTTGAAAATACGCAACATTAATTACAATCGTAATATCCAGGCATTCAATACAAGGAAAACAGTCTCTGAAAACATATTCCCATTCATACTCTACTCAGTGTTAGTACTGAGTAAAAAGGACGGGATATACATTTTATACAAGGATTATAATGGTACTATTGACATTTTTATTCTATCCTTCTTCCTAAAAGCTTAGAGTGATATACATAGTAATAACTGCAAGCTCTCAAATCAATTATGACTTCTGGTGACTCTTTCCAGGGTTTTCTAGGTACTCCCAAGTAACTGTATAGGATTCTAGCCAAACTCACATATCCTGGAAGGCAGACCCCCATGAGTATGTGACAGACCTAAACAATGGCCTTTCTCTATTTTAGTCTCTGCCCTATTACATGAAGTAGCTCTATGTTATGGCTTTATTTGCAAACTTAAGATGCTTTTGCAAGATAACACTATTCTAACCAAACCTGTCTTGGTAGCAGTATTAATTCCCACCCTACAAGTTGTGCTTTTAGGGACACTTGGCTTATGATGATTTTCCCATCTAGACATAATTTTCACATAAGAGGGCAAAGAAAAAAACATCAGCAATTCCATATGTGTTTTCATGTCATGCAACACAGAGAAAAGCTTTTCCTATAACTCTATCATATAGGAAAAAATCATGTACAAAAGAGCTTTTACACCCAAATGTCCTTCCAGACGGCTAGCATATTTCCTAATGAGTGCTGGTAAGACAAAGGAGTGTCTTCACAGTAAAGGTATAGTTTCAGACACACACTATTCAGCTTCAGAGCCACATAATATGGTACATGCAGTGAAGGTGTAGAGTTTTTCCCCCCAGTGATTTTCTTCATCAACAATTTGATTTGAAGCACCATATAGCCAAAAAGTGCTGCTTTCAACATTGCAAGTGCATGCCTAAAGTTGTCACATGTCTTTACTGTTTTCCAGCCACTCTTGGCATACTTTTCAACAAGATCTTTAGTGCTGACACGGACTACTATGATTTGTCATATTTGCCTCTTTTAAGGAGTCAAAGCAATGTGCATGGAGTTTTTCCTAAGATCTTTTCAACAGCCAACCCAGGAAATAGGTCAGGCTTACATAGTGTGAGTAGGTGAAGGCTTGGACCTGTGAAATTCATGCTGAAACACAGGTCTGAACACAATCCATTCCAAGACAGCTACAATCCAAAGGCAGAGAGGTCTAAACACCTTACTAATCATCACAAACATACGTGATAAGAAACACACAGCACAATTCTTTGCTTGTTTACTCAGAGGTAAGCTGAATGGAGCATCACATATACTGTAGTTAAGGGAGTTTAAGACTGCTTTGCTTTTAAGTCACATTTTATTATTTTCTTAAGGTGGAGGCGGGACTGAATTCAAAAAAAATCAGCATCCTTCCTGCCACCCTCAAGCAACAAGCAACCAAATCTAAATCCTTCATTTTTCAGTTATACCCAGATTGGATTTATTGTTTAACCAAAACTTTACATTACTGCTGCAAACTAAATAAAAGAATAATGAAACAAGCATGCTAATTTCTCTAGGCCCATCACTGAATATGTTTTTAGCAATAACAGTTGGTTGTATTGCATTGGAAAGACATTCTCAATCATAATTTTGGCACTTTAAAAGACACACCGTTTAAACTAGTCTCATCTGTCCTCACCTTTCATTCATTCAAAGGGCACACGACAAAGCAACAGCATGTTCAACTATCACAACATACAGCTAAAAATACAAATCTCAGTAAAAATTGGCCTTTAGCTACATACTGCATAGCACATGTAATAGTCAATACATATCCAAAATATACATTTAAAGATATGATTTGTGACAATCATATATCCAAATTTAGCCTAGCTGTATCAGTTAACAAGAGGGACGAGGTGGCACCGTGAGTTAAACCGCAGAAGCCTCTGTGCTGCAAGGTCAGAAGACCAGCAGTCGTAAGATCGAATCCACATGACAGAGTGAGCTCCCATCGCTTGTGCCAGCTCATGCCAACCTAGCAGTTCGAAAGCATGCAAATGCAAATAGATAAATAGGCACCACCACGGTGGGAAGGTAACAGCATTCCGTGTCTAGTCGTACTGGCCACCTGACCACAGAAATGGTTTTTGGACAAACGCTGGCTCTACAGCTTGGAAACGGGGATGAGCGCCATGCCCTAGAATTGGACATGACTGGACATTTGTCAGTTAACCATTATTATTCAGTGTCTCAATCTGTTACACTCAGTAGTGCCACAGTTTTTTTTTAAAGCTAAATATAATTAAATATAGATTCAGTCGTGGACTAAATATAGTTTAAGAACCTATTCCACCTTAAGGACCCAAAGTACAGTGGGGTCTTGACTTGAGAACTTAAAATCCATATTGGAAGGCGGTTCTCAAGTCAAAAAGTCTGTAAGTCAAGTCTCCATTGACCTACAGTGCATGCATTTGTCAGTTAACAATTATTATTCAGTGTCTCAATTTGTTACACTCAGTAGTGCCATAGTTTTTTTAAAGCTAAATATAATTAACTATAGATTCAGTCTTGGACTAAATATAGTTTAAGAACCTATTCCACCTTAAGGACCCAAAGTAAGTGTTTCTTTTGTAAATATATAAGAGAAAGACTGCATTTAAAATAACACTAACACAAAAGGTCTTTTGTAAATATATAAGAGAAAGATTGCATTTAAAATAACACTAACACAAAAGGTAAAGGTTCCCCTTGACATTTCTGTCCAGTCGGGTCCAACTATAGGGGGTGGTGCTCATCTCCGTTTCCAACCCATAGAGTTAGTGTTTGTCCGAAGACAATATTCTGTGGTCACATGGCCAGTGTGACTAGACACGGAACGCTGTTACCTTCCCACCGAGGTGGTACCTATTTATCTACTCACATTTTGCATTTTGCATGCTTTCAAATAAAGCACACTACCAATACTGAATTAATAATCAACTTGAAGACAATTCAAGCTTTAATTAACATTTAGGGTTAATGAGTGTATGACCATACAGATATTGTTGGACTGGGAATCCCATCATCTCTCACCAATGGTTATGCTGGTGGCAATAACAGAAACTGCAGGACAACAACTGGAGAGCCATCTACTGCTCACCTCTGATCTAGAGAAATTTGACTATGACCCAGGTACCTAGAGAAAAACTCCACTGAACTTATCGGGACTTACTTATGAACAGATGTCTTTAAGATTGCACTGTAAGACCTACTTGTTCTGTCAGGCACTTGGTGGAGCGTTGGCTGCTTAATAACTGGGAAATCATTTTGTAATTTTAGGCTGCCATAAGATACACAAAAACAGAGTACGGAATTTAGTCTTGATCAAAGAAAGCTTTCATAAACTGCCAAATATCAGCATTAAGCAGCGACTTGGTGGTGCCCACTCTGATGGTCACCCACATCAGAAGAAAATGCACTGTGTTCCATGGAAGATGCAGTTTTCTAACACACTTTTAAGCCGGAGCAGGCCCATGTGGCCCACTAGACGTTGTGGGTTTTTTTTGATGCTACTCCCACAATCCCTCACATTACTTCTACTAAACAGAGCTACTGGGAATTGTAGACCAAAAATATCTGGAGAGGCACAATTATCCATCCTGCTTTAAAGGGGCCCTTGAGACTACTTCACATACAATATACTGTACTTAGTAAGGGAACTGAGAGGGAGCTGCAATTACTAGATGCCTCTGTGCTTGCATATGTGTGGACCCAATGTTTTTACACATATGCAAAACTTCGGGAGTGCACAGGCAAATCTGTCATATCAAAGTACTGTACTCCCATGTTATGGGAACATGTATGAAAATGCCTGAAAGTTGTTGGTATCAGAGTAGCCAAATATATGGCAACTTGCAAGCATATTAATATGATATGCGTACCATTCAGCATTTGACAAAACAGTAAATTTTACTTTCAGGGATTCAACCCACTGTTTATAAGCAAGATATATTTAACAGAGAACAGCAATAGTCCAATGATATTAGCAATGCTATGAAAGTAGAGAAAAAGCACCTGTACACTCCATGAGTAAGTGCTTTGCATCATAAAGCCAGTGACTATAATGGAAACACTGAGCATACTCAATCTATACAGTATTTCTTTAAAAGAATTACACCATATTTTGGTTGTGTACATTTGTCACACCACTATCTGCAGGAGTCAGAAAGAATGGCAAGCAGGCCTTTAATTTGCTGCAGCAGTACACTCAAAAGTATCTGTTATTTCCTTTGCACTTAAATTTGTATCATCCCTTTCAAACATGCTCATTCTGTAGGAGGCTCAGCAGTTAAAACTTTTGATTCTCTGCCCACCTGGGTGATAAAGTGGTATTAGAAACTGCCTCTGTGTGATGGAAGACAGATAAAGGTTAATAATCACAACAGGTAGCCAACATGCTTCCCTGCTGTCTGCTTTACGGTTAACCCTTTTTGTACAGTACTGTACAGTCCAATCTGTCTGTTACTCAGATACAGCAGAGAAAAACATTATTTTATTCCAGGCCCCCAAGGATACAGGGTATGTCAGGCACCTGGTGGAGTAAATGGCTCCTGCACCGTGATGCCCTGAATCTTTCACCTTAACCTCCATTCCAGGTAAATCAAAAAGGTATTCCAAAAAAAACACACGTCCGAACAAACGATTATAATAGAGGCACAAACCTGCTATAGAGTTCGTATAGTCATAATCAAATAAAATCGAGAAGTCCAGCTCTTCTTCGCGATTTGGATTCGGATCTGGGTTCCCCGGCTGGGAGTTCGGATCCGAATCGTTTGGAGTGGAAGCCATCTGTACTTTTTTTCCCCCGGTGACCTCTTTGTTGTAAAAAAATAACAATAAGTGGGCGGGGAAGACTGGCAAAGAAACGTGAGAGAACCCACTCTCACCTTCACCGGACAGTTTTCAGTGTTAGCTATCCAAAAAAAAAATTTTTTTTACAGTCCCGCACTCCCTCCCCAAAGCAGAAAATCCCTTCCAAATGCAACTTTAAAAAAAACTGCAGTGCGTGTCTAAAGCTTCTGAGATCTTTTTTCTCGGAGGAGCCCGGCAAACTCCTTTTACTTTCTCCCTGGGTCAGGAGGACACCTGCCAGCCTGCAAGACGAGCTCACGCGGGGAGAAAGCGAACCCCCCGATCGCCCCAATCTCTGCCGATCGCCCCGGCCCGGCGTTGCAGTTTAACACCCAGAGCGTGAAGGGAGCGCGATGCGCACCGGAGCCACTTCCTGCTCGCCGCCGCCACCTGCGCCCGGGAGGCGGGAGCTGCCTCGGGGAGGGAGGGGCGCGAGGCAGCAGCTGGCTACTGAGAGGGGAAAGGGGCTCTGTGGACTTGTAAGAAATCCAGGCTTTTCAGCCCATTTAGGATGCGATGGAGGGGTAAGGCCAGTGGGAAAGGGATTTGTTTACATTTTATTTTTTTATTTTTTATTTTTTTGCAGCTATAAGGGGGAAGATCGCTGCAATGGTGAAACCTAGCCTAGCACAGAATATGATATGGAACATAAAGGATGTAAGAGACAGAGGGAAAGTATTTGGTCGCTTTCTCTGAAAATATGAAGAGGGAAGGGCTTAGATGGACGCTTTGTTTTCTGGCAGGTCCATCCCTCCATTTTTGGCAGCCGGAGAAAGTACTTTGCGGAAGCTTTTCTCAGGATGGAAATGGTTGCTTATTGGTGTTGGTGTCACTGAAAGCAGCTTTTACCTGAGGAGGGTCTTCCTGGCATGCAGCGGTCAAAATATACAGCAACTAGTACTAGAAGCAGACAGGGTGTGTGGAAGAGGACTGAGCCTAGGAAGGCAGCCTGCAAAGGGTGAATGGATTGTTCTGGAATCTGAAGCTGTAAACAAACGTACTGAACTGGCATCAGTGTGACAGTGCTTAGTGGGCAGATCTGCATCTGAAACAACGACTTCATGTCCATATATCCCCAAAATAAAATACTAGTCATTGTAAACCAAATTTCCACCAAAGTTCACCTCCTTTCCATTTTCTTTCACAATATGGAAGATGAGAGGACGTATATGTGAAAATAGGTATGCATAACTCGGAAGAAGGAACTACAACGATTAGAAGACCCACAATGGAGCACAGGATGTTTTGCTACTCCATGATTCCAAGCTTGCTCCTCAGATTTATCAAAATGCTGCAAAGGCACAGCTCTTATTCTCTCTCTTACCCACCCAAGACTTGCTTTTGTCAAGGAATATTGGGATGCGTCCTTCTGACTCCATGCAGTTTCACTGCTGGTCTTATTCCTAGGCTGGACTAATCCATGATCTTGAGAGAGGAAACGAGAACAGAGTCACCAAAAAGAAATAGAGGAAACAAATGCTGGTGTCAAAAAGAAGGGCGGAAACAGTTACTTCTTCTCAAAACACTCTACTTATGAGTACTCTCATTTATTTTAGTGACACTGTTCCTGCCAAATTGGTGATTCTTTATAAAATGGACTTTACAGATAGATAATGGGAAAAAAGGGAGGGGAAGAGTGACCAGAATTCACTGAATGTCAATGCCCAAGCCTACTTCATTTCAGTCAAGGGAAATTATTGTTTGATTAAGCCTATAAAGAAGAGAAAGAGGTGTGTGTGTGTTTGGTAGTGGGGCTTTGACAGAAGAAAATGTTGAAGAAGACGTATGCACATGGCTGTAAAGATGATATGAGAAAGCAGAGCTTTAAGAGGAGCGAAAAGTGCTCTTTGAAGGCTATGGAAAGAATGTTCAGCAAATGTACTTTTTCCTTCTTACTGCCAAATTCTACCTTTTAAGAGGCTGGGTTATTGGGTTATCTGCTCCCTCCCTGATTTTGATTTAGAGTATATAGGTTCCTTTGCTTAGTTTTGCTGGAGTCTGATGAGACAGAAAATTCTCCTATAATTAGTAGAGCTGGCATGTGTTCATTTTCATTTCTACTAACACCTGTTTATGGAACAGCCATCAGCTAGTATGAAGGGTTAATAACCATGTAGATTATTAGTGTGGTAGGTATCATCATTATCCTCCCACTCGTATGCTAAAAAATCTCAACATACAATGCACAATTTCCCCCTCCTTTCAGAATAATTCTGGTAAGTAATTTAGACTGAGAGGGTGAATGAGTGAGTGGTGGATTACTGGTTGAGAATTTGAACTTGAGTCTCTCCAGTCTTACATCATGACTTAACCTACAATACCATTTAAAATATATTTTATGTAAATGACCAGCCTAAGAAGCTGAAGACAAGTTTCCAGTAAGCCATGCTTTTATCATTGCTCTAGTATAATTTTCTTGTAATTACTACAGTGTCACTTTCAAACTAACCTCCCTGGGTTTGATTTCTGTCAGATGCCCAATTACTTTTATTCCTGCCTCTTTTATTTAAGTAATAGGTACATTTTAATTTCCACACCCAAATAATCACACTTCCAAAATGGACAATTGCACTATACTGTATTTATAGATCCAAATATAGTATAATTTATCTTTGACATAAGCAAGAAATGGAGAAAATATAGTGCTGCACAAGTCCTAAAAGCCTCCATTGACAAAACCAACTGTAACAGATTATGGGATGCTAGTCCAACAGGATCTAGGAACACAGGTTAGAGAGCCACAGCTCTAGCAAAATGTGAGCTATTTTACTGGCGACTGTCACTGGCTTTCTTAGTTGCAAAGCTGTAGGAACGTTTGCTTAGGACACTTAATAGCTAGAGCAACCTTCCCAACTAGACACCATCTAGATATGCTAGGCTACAACTCCCATTATCCTTTGCTAGATTCTCCTTTCCACTAGATAAGTTCTACCCCAGTAACATTTCCTTAGAAAGTGTCTTGATAAGAGTTGTGCTTCACATTTGAACTTCTATATGCCACTGTTGTGTTACTGTTGTTTTTGACCTGATAAGGTGATCTCACCAATCACAATTAGTAACTGCAAATATTTTGTTTGAATGTGCCCTCGAGTGGAGAGCATTGGTATTTACTGAGACTGGGCAAACTTGATTTTTCAAGATTCCCCTAACTGGTAAATATTGCACTGCATGAGAGAAATCAAACAAAATATCTACTGCACAAAACCACTGAGCTGTTAACTAAGCCTGGCTATCATATTAAAGGTAACAATGGTGTTTATTACGTTTGGTTAATGATTCTGTGAAGCTTTTGACTCACTTGAGTAATCCAGAGCTTTCTGCTTTGCAGGAGTCTTGGTGTAAAATGATATTGTGTTTGGATGTGCCACACTGTGGTCTCAGTGAATTTAATAAGAAGTCTGATGTGTGAAAGGAATAATACATTCAACATAGACTCCTACCTGACAACCATTTACTTAAAAACAAGCCCCACTGACCTTATAATAATCCTGCTATATACAATTGCAACAGCAATGGTCTTCTGATTTTATCCAGCCCTGTAATTCTACATTAAACTGATTTCATCAGTGCTCAGTCCAGGTTATGGCGGCTTTTGGTAAGATGATCTTAGTTTTGCCCTCTCTGAGTGAAACCAACTTTTCTCCCTCCCTCTTGTTGCTGACCGTTCCCTTGCCTTGGCTTCTGTACCCAGTCGCACGGCATCCCAGAGGGAGAGAATAACAATTGTGGATGTTTCTGCTCCCTATTCTACTCCCCTCCTTACAATGCTGACCTGGAGAAAGGAGACAAGCAGGCAGAGCAGAAACAAGAAATTAGAGGAGGAGCACAGACACAGAAATCAGCGGGATGACCCCTGTTGAAGACATGGCCCCGAAGATCCCTATTCCTGATACAGTATTTCTTCACAAGCTATGCTATGAAAAGGTTTATGTCTGAAGATGGAATGCTGGGGAGAAAATATGTGTCTAATTGAAAGTATCAAGCACCCATAGCACCTTTGTTACTTCACTTGGTACATGTAGAAATCCAAAGTTAAGTTGTTAAAAATTAAAAATATATGCTATACAACTCATAAAAGAATCCCAAAAGCACCTTGTTACTATTAGTGAGCAAAGTTTTTTAAAAAACTAACTCATTGCTTTGCTTGTTGGTATTCTGTTGCCTTTTAGTTTCTTTGGGAGGGGTGAATCAATTTTAAAAACAAAGCAAATAGCCTAAAACATAAAAATTACCCCTCCAAAATGCCAACAGAAAGCGTTTTAACTTCCACAAAGTAACAACAATGTTAACAAGTAACATTACCCAAAACAATTTTTACTTCCAGCTTTCTAGGATACATGTGGCTCATTGATTGATCTGTCTGCCAACCTGCCACATTTGCCAAAACAATTTTTACTTCCAGTTTTCTAGAATACATGTGGCTCATGTCACTTCCTACAGATTGATCTGTCTGCCAACCTGCCACATTTCTCAGCAGATGTACAAACAGCATCAGAATGAAGCAGGCCTACAGTATGTTGCCCTAGAAGTTGTGATCCTTGACCGAGCAGGGTTTGTACAGTACTCATTTAGTCAGTATCAAGGGACTGCTGTATGTGTGCAGGGCCTCCTCCAAACTGATGCCCTCCATAGCCACTCTGTGTGTTGACATCTAAACTACAAGGCTAGCTTACCCGTTCATGTATGAGTGCTCCCTTCATGATTTCATACTAACTACTTGAGAAAGGCCCACACAACTTGCTGTGTGGCACAGCACCAATGTCATTCCATTTCAAGTTGGATACACTGCTGCAGTCATGTATAAAAGAGATATTTCCTTACTGGTCTTGTATAAGTTGGAATCAGCTTGACAGCACATAATTAATTATGCAGTGCAGAGAGATGGATCATTTAAAAAAAATGTATTCGCACATATTTCTGTTGATCTGGATTCAGCTGACATAATTACTAAGAAGTGGCAGACAATATGTCAACTGCACACTATGTGTTCCAGCTAAGAATGAAAGCCATTCTAAGTTACAGCTGTTACGAACAACTATAGACATGGAAGATCCACCTGCCCAGGTCTTTCAGAAGCACATTATTTCAAGTCCTTCACAGATATGTACACTCAGACACATAGACACAATTTTGGGGTCAGTCTGAGTCAGAGATATTTCTCCCAGTTTGGAGCACAGTGTGGTTTTGGTAAGAAAAGCCAATGGAAAAATTGCTCATAATCTCCATGTTCCCATTAAAAATGCTGAAGGCAGCCTTGAAAACCAAAGGAATGTACATATGATAATAAAAAGTACATATATTGAACCAAATAGTGGAAAAGACTTTCTAAGATATTATTATCCCAGGCTTGTTCTCCAA